TATTAAGTCTTGTTCATGGAATTTCCTTGTGGGGCCTTAGGATTTCTGCAAGGGCTAATGAGGTCGTGCTTTGTATTAGAGGAGAAAGTTCATGTCTTAAAGGACTTAGGGTAGACCGAAGGTCACTTGGGGAGCATAACTACACTAGGAAATCACCCCTGTTAACCTGAACTTCATGGCGTGGGGTCTGTTGTCCCCGTAAAGTAATGTAGGTAGGACCCTGGTATCTGTCACACAAGCTTAGTCATCTGATTTGCTCAGAGACCGCTATTCAGTTCAAGAAACCAAAACAAAACAGGCTTTAAAAAAATCTTCATGGAAACAGGCTGTCTGCCATCTGTGTTTGTTGCTGAGAATGGGGTGTGTTTTTTTCTCAGAGCAAAGCACATTTTCCATTTTTACTGTTCACTTCTTATTTTCATCCCTGCCTCTCCTCTGGGTCCCCTTGGAGAAAGCTCTGTGGTATAGTCACCGCAGTGGGCCGAGTGAATGCCGATCAATGGCCCCTCTCAGCAGTGGGCAGACGGTGCTAATTAGGCACAGAAGTGGTTTTTATGGCAGTGCAGACAGTGGGTGGCAGCGCTCTGCTGAAGGCCGGTCTGGGGCCAGATCCCAGCGCCGCACCACTGCCCGTGGGTTCCACCATGGCTGCCTGCTTTAGGAAAACATGATAGCAGGATAAGTGTGTGTTCCTGTCTGTCTCACAGTCGAGGTCATGTTGACTAACTCATACTGTGTGTTCAACTACAAATCAAACGGCTTGATCTCCTCCTGCAGAAAGATGGCTGATCCTCACGGGAGTTTGTTTAATAGCTTTATTGAGATGTAATTCACATACCATACAATTCATCCATTTAAGTGTATAATTCAGAAGCTTTGCGTGTGTTCAGAGTCAATGCAGTTAATTTTAGAGCCCCAAAAAAAAAACTATACCCATTAGTTGTCACCCTTCAATCTTCCCCCAGTCCTAGGCACCTATTAATCTACTTTCTGTCTCTATGGATTTACCTATTCTGCACATTTCCTATAGAGGGAATCCTACAATATGTGGTCTCTTAAGGCTGACCTCTTTCACTTAGCATATTTTTAAGGTTCATCCTCATTTTTGCATATATCAGGGCCCTACAGGGAAGCACCAGGGCCAGTCAGGAGGCAGAGGGAGGGAGAAGAAAATGTGGGCAGGAGCCTTTACTGTGGTTTCCATGGGGCAGAAAGGGTGAGGCAGGGTAAACGGGATTAGGATTGGCTCGTGTGAATAATTTCAGCAGGCTCTGGGGCATAGGGGCTGTCCCTAGTTGTCCGGCACATGGCAGGTGGGTGGTGGCCCTGGACGTGAGAGCTCCGTGAAGGAGGTAGTTGGGGGTATGGGCTCGGGACTGGTTGGTACATGTAGAGGAGCTTTTCCTTAGATGACCATCTCTGGAAACTGGCTACTCCTGGGGGGTGGGGGAGCGAGGGGCAGGGGGCAGATGTCAGAGCATCAAAAATACAGAATAAAGACAGCTGCTCTGTGGTGGCGGTATTGACTTGTGTATTGATCAAGCAGTTATTTTCAAGGCTGCGTATGCTTTAGAGAAAGATTCAATTGGTGACTGTCCATCTCTTATTTTAAGTTTTAGGTAGCTTGAGGGGAGTGATGGTTAGACTGCTCCAAAGGAAAAAGAATAATTTATCTCAGCAGGTCACATGGCCACCAAATGCATATCATTAAACTTTTCTATAAGAAGTCCCCCCAAAATAGAAGGCCATCTCAAATACTTTTTGGAAGTGTGTGTGTATTAAATGATAAAGAAATACAAAAAAATATCAGAGCTCTGTGCTGTGTGTTTGGCCAAACAAGGGTGTTCTAAAATATAATTTCTCATTTAAGACTTTTTAATATACAGTCGATCCTCATCATTTGCAGATTCTGTGTATATGAATTCCCCTGCTTGCTAAAACGTATTTGTAACCCCCAGGTCAATACTTGTAGGGCTGTCATGGTCTTTCCCGGACACGTGCAGACTGCCAAAAAATCGAGTCACCCAACACGTACTCTCCCAGCAAAGGCTGACTAAGGCGACACACTGCCTTCTTGTTGCAGCTCATGCTGGAAACAGGTGCCCCTTGGCACTGTATTTAGTGCCATGTTTTATGCTTTTTTTTTTTTTGTCCTCTTTGTTGATGACTTCACAGTTTAAAATGGCCACCAAGCATAGTGCTGAAGGGCTGTCCAGTGTTTCTAAGTGCAGGATGTGTCTCAGAGAAAATACGTGTGACAGACACGCTTCCTTCAGGCATGAGTTAGCGTGCCCTAGGCCGTGGGTGCAGTGTTACTAGATTGACTGTGTATTAAATAAGGCATCAGCCAGCAGAAGCCACATAACCCAAGGTCATGGTGAATGTGTAGCTGGAGGCTCACAGGACCGTAGCCCTGGATTTCTCCTACAAGCAGCGCTTTGGTATTCGCTAACTCAATGTCCACTGCGACTTTATAGAACATTACTACTGCAAATAATGAGGATTCAACTGTAACTTTTTATTCTGAAATAGTATACAAGTCACAAGAAGGTGCAAAATAGTCAAGTCCCTGTGTACCCATCATCGAGTGTCCCCCAGTGATGATACCTGATGTAACCATAGTCCATTGTCAAAACCAAGACAGTGATATTGGTACCATGTTATTAACCCTCCTCAGATTTTGCCATTTGTTACATGGCGAAAGGGGAGAGTACACGTCTATGAAATTTTATCCCATGTATAGATTTAAGTAACCAATACCACAGTCAAGATACAGAAGCATTCTGCCACTTCAAATAAATAATCATTTCCTTTTTTTTATGGTGATAAAATATATGTACCATGAAATTGTACCATTTTAATCACTATTAAGAGTACAGTCCAGTGGCATTAAGCACATTCACATTGTCATGCAACCATCCCCACCATCGATTTCCAGAACTTTCTCATCTTGCCAAACTGAAACTCCGTCCCCATTAAACACTCACTCCCCTCCCCTCCCCCAGCCCCTGGCACCCCACCATCTACTTCCTGTCTCTATGAGTCTGACTCCTCTGGGGACCTCCTGTGAGTGGATTCACACAGTATTTGTCCTTTTGTGACTGGTTTAGTTCACTGAGCATCATGTCTTCAGGGTTCATCCATGTTGTATCAGGTGTCAGAATGTCCTTTTTAAAGTTTGAATAATCGTCTATGAAAAAAAATGATTTCTTGACCTGTTTTGTGGGAGGCAATGTCCTCCATTATATTGTGGAAACATGATGATCAGAATAAATAAGTACACTTGAACCTTGAACAACGCAGGGATTGAGATGCCTAACCTTTGGAACCAGCGATTCTTAGAGGGTGTTTATGGTGACCTTTTCTTCTGTGGACTATTTAATTAAAGCAGAATCCATCCCATTTCAGGCAAGACCTAGGATCACAGGAACAATCTGTGTTCCTGTGCCCGGATGCTGGGCAAAGGATGCCTTTCAGGATCTGTCCCCTGTTTGTACACTCAGGTCATAATAGCCTGGGTGGGGCTTAATGTGGTGCCGAAATGACAGGAAATGCCTGCTCTGGACCGTGAAGGCCTCGATTTTATGATTTCCACCTCTGTCAATGGGAGTTTGTATATGAGTGACAGCCTCGTCACCTTTGTCTACTAGAATAGTAATTGTTAGCCACTTACGATCACGACGTCGTGACGTTTGGGGTCACTGCCCAAATGGCATCCTCACCACGCTGAGCTCTGTTAAAAAGTGAATAGCTGGTTTAGTATATGTTCTGTGTGTGTAAAATGGCGTCACACCACTTAGTGGGTTTTTTGTTTTTTTTTACAAGCTTTCTTCATTCCTCCTCTACCAGAAATGTTCTGTCAGACACGTACCCACCTGCACACTCGCAACCTCCCTAAATTTCCACCTGAATTAAAACTCACTCAGCGGGCTGAACCCCTTCTCTCCAGAAAAGCTCCTGAGAGAAGTACATTTGGGGACCCACGAGCCAGGTAGGGAAGGCCACCAGACAGATTTCTTGTTAATGCTGCTGTTGGTCTTTCAAATGTGAATAAGTTAATCAAGCAGCCTGGCTCAACTAGGCTTGAGTTAAATGGTTGAGTTGTCAAGTAGGAGGGGGGAACCAGCCTGATTAATGACTGCCTGGTTTTCTGGGAGGTGCATCTTTCCATCAGTGAGAAACCACAGCCTATGTGCTTCCTAATAGCTCAGCTCTTAAATTAGTGAGCAGATGAGTACAGACAACCCTTTGGGTCCCCTGTTGCATGTTAGGTTGGTTTACAATCGCCTATAAAATAGGATCAGAGCCTGTCATCCACTCTGGTGGTCAGGTTCTCTTAGAGTTCTTACGAACTGCGGTGCGTCTAGCTAACACCATGCCCTGTGGTCTCTGGGTCTCAGCCATCCTGACATCCGATCTCATTGCAGTCGTGTGTGTGATGCCGGCACCAGCCACACCAAGCACAGACTCCCTATTTCGTGATATTAGCTTCTTTACAGTGAACAGCAACTGCTCTCTGCTTTTGACCCCCTGCTAAGACAGAAAGGGTGCCAGGATATTTTGTTGTTAGTTTACCAAACGAGAAAATATGATGTGATTTGCACCCTAAATGGTCACAGTGGGGACCAATTTCCTGCCCTCCAGACCCACTGCTTCAGCCAATAAAGTAAGAGAAGAAGCAGCTTTACATTTCTAGAAGGATCCCACGGAGGTATAAAAACAGCACACTGCGCAGAGTCTGCGAGCCCCAACCGTGAACATGGGAAACGCGCATTCCAAAGGCAGCGACAGAGACAACGCACTCCACAGCCGCCCCGAGCTGTCTTTCTATGGCTCTTTTCCTAGGAAATGGAGCGAGAATGTCTTTCTAGATAACGAGCTGCTGACATCCAAGATTCTGTCTGTACTGCGGCCACAGTCAGAGCAGGGCTTCCGGACAGGCCACCTCCACTACCCTGCCCACTTTCTCAGCACCAGCTCTGTCTTTGCCTCTGTCGCAGCATCCCTGAAGGAGCACCCGAGGGCCACCCTCTTGTCCGATGGCAGCCCGGCCCTGTCCAGGAATGTCGGCATGACGGTCTCGCAGAAGGGGGGTCCACAGCCAGCACCCAGCCCGGTGGGAACGGGGCTGCGACTCGGGTAAGCCGGATGCTCTCTACCGTCAAGTGCAGGTGAAGGGAGGGGACTCAGGGTGGGGGACCCTGCCAGCAGCTTTTCTGAAAGGAGACCCTCAAGAGCATGTGAATCCGCCCTTGGGCCCCCAACTGAGCAGTGAAATTCCCATTAACACTTGTTTCAGAGTCATTCATTTTCCTTTTTCAAAAAAAGGTGTGTTGGGGTGGGCTCCGCCATTGGAGCCAGTTTGCTTCATGCTCTTGAAGGACCCTTAGCCAGGGCCCCTTTTTGTACAAGATGAGGCTGGAAGTCTCGCTGAAGGCTGAGGTTGCCGTGGGGGTTGCATCCCATTATTTATGCCCTAACCCAGTGTTCCAAGGACTTCGAGGTGGTTCTCTTAATAGTGCATTCAGCAGTGCTCAGGGAGAAAACATAATGCTACCAAAATGTCATCGCAGTGATCCCTATATGAGTTGGTAGGGAAAGAAGATGATTATCTTTCTCCTTTAGAAAGGATTCTCCCTCCACCTTCGGCTGAGTGAGGCTGTATCCACCTAACTTTCTGGAAGGAATTTCAGGGACACCAGTGGCCAGTAAAGGAAATATATGATTAACACACCCTTACAATGTATCTGAACATTAAAGTTAGTTATGAAAGAAGTCCTGACGTTACGTTGACAAATAGTCTCCTGATTTTCAAAAATGATCTGTGACAAAGTTAAGGCTTACATTGAAATCCGGAAAATTCTCAAATAGTATTTAAGCAGATTAACAGTCTAATTTGCCTTCATAGAATGGGACGTGAGTTGCGTGTGCGCGAGCACATGTTTAATTCGATTTTTTGCAATAATTGTTTTTATGATTTTTATTTAGACCAGTCACAGGAGAAATGGATGAAGCCGACTCTGCATTTTTTAAATTTAAGCAGGCAACTGACGACTCCCTTTCACTTACATCCTCAAATGCCGAGTCCACTTTTGTAGAAGGTACAGTCATCCTGATGCTTTCACAGATGTCACGTGGTCCCCATCATGCTGGGACCCACATCATCAATGTGTCCACGGGACTCGGGCTGGGCCGGCCCCGAGCAGTGGCCTCTTTCTCTTCCCTCAGACCCCTACACTGCCTCGCTGAGGAGTGAGATCGAATTGGATGCCCACGAGTTCGAGGCCGAGTCCTGGAGCCTCTCTGTGGAGCCGGCGTATGCAAAGAAACAAAAGAGGGAGGTGGTGAAAAGACAGGATGTGCTTTACGGTAGGAAGTCCTCTGCTGCCACACCAGCCTTCCACACTTCTTTTCCTTCTTTTTTTAAAGATTTGTTCCACTGGGGAGTCTGGAATCCACTGCCAACACCCCCTGAAACCATGTCACCCGCTCCCTGCTACCCCAGGATAGCCTTGCCTTCCGGGCCTGGGAAGAGGTGGCCCGGGAGGTCCCCGATGACGAGTATGGCCAAATGCCCAGGCCTGACTCACACTTACTTGTTGGTGACCCTGACAGAGACCACCCTGGCCCATCCCAGCTGTCCTGGCGACTGCAGACAGGCCTGAGCGTGGCTATAATTGGGGAGTTTGGAGGCATGTCCCTACAGTCCGCATGGGACTGTAGCATGTGGCAGCAGCTCCTGGTGGGAGCCCCTTTCCGCTGGCCGTGGGCAGCCACTGTTCTGAAATGAGATGTTGCAGGATACAGTGAAAACCACAGCTCCCAGACACAGCACCTGTCCCCGGGCCAGGGCTGTGCTGGGTGCCCCACGTTATGTCCTGCCAGGCCCCAGGACCCCCTACAGGCAGGGTGACAAAGGCCCAAGGCAACCACAATGGAACCTAAGGCCTTTCTCTCCCTTAATTCCTTACTGTTCTTATGATCCTTCCTCCAAGGGAACTGTCCCCCAAGACTGACAGTGTTGTGTCACCTGAGGAGAAATTTTCCTGTCTGTCATTGGCATTCTGGCATTTCTAGAAACATCCTTACTTTTCATCCCATGTGGCAAGCCCAGCTCCAGGATCCCTATACACCACTCAGGGGTGTCCACTGGAGCCCATCACACGCTGAGCTGCCTGCCTAGGCCAGAGTAGCTTGGAGTATGGGTGGGGAGGCGAACCCGAGTGGACGTTTCCCCTCAGGGCCCCAGGGCAGGCCAGAGATTCTTCAGAGAGAGACTGTCTCAGCCTCTGGGCAAACACAAACCCAGGCGCAGCGCTACTGACCTGGTTTCACCTCTAACAGCTTCAAGGCCTTGACTTGAATGCAGAAAAACTCCAGCACAAAACCTGACCATTCTTTGCCTTTAACAGTGAATTAAAATCTCACTTGAGCTCTGCTTTTGCATCAGTTACCGTCTGGGTCTGGCCCCTGACATGTACACATGTGTGAATTTCACACCCCAAGGAGTGGTGTTCATCCGAACCGTCTTCTGGCTCAAAACAGCCTTGAGACGCCCTTGGTTGATGTTAGGCTCGAAACCCTCCTGTGAATGTGAAGTCCCAGCCCACGTCTTGGCTCCTTCCTTTCCTGATGTCTCTCCACCCCTCGCTGCTCTCTTAAGCCGGGGCCCCTGCAGCACCGGAGTGGGGAGGGCGGGAGGCCTGGCCCCAGGGCAGTAGGGCCACGGGGGCGAGGATTTCGGCAGAGAGCTGAGAGAAGCCAGCCTGGTGCGTGGCGAGCGGGAGGGCAGCATGCACGAGTGCCTCCGTGGAATGCGGGAGGAGCGACGTCGGGGTGCGGTCCCCGCGTGGGTAAGTCCTGTCCCCCATACCCCACAGAGCTGATGCAGACGGAGGCGCACCATGTACGGACACTGAAGATCATGCTCAAGGTCTACTCCAGGGCCCTGCAGGAAGAGCTGCAGTTCAGCAGCAAGGCTATTGGCCGCCTCTTCCCGTGCGCGGACGACCTCCTCGAGGTGCATAGCCAGTTCCTCTCTCGGCTGAAGGAGCGCCGCCAGGAGGCCCTGGAGGAGGGCAGCGACCGGAATTACATCATCCAGAAAATCGGGGACCTCCTGGTACAGCAGGTGGGCACGGCCGGGACGGGCACAGGGCCTGGACGAGCCCCCACCCAGCTCTGTTCCTCTCAGCAATAACAAGGACAAGCCATGCAGTATTGTGATTTGTAAGAAATGTGTATTTGCTGTTTGTCCATGGTTCCTGGCTCACAGGTCCCAAAACCCTTGGAATTTCCTAAATGGTGACAGCATAGAGGTGTCTTTGGTTATGTGAATGAGGCGACTTTTAGAAAGCACCTAAGGGTAGGGTCTGGTTGCCAGGGGAGCCAACCATGTGGTTAGAGGGTTGAAAGTTGGCGTCCCACTCCCCGACCTTGGGGGTGGGGAGAGGGACTGGAGGTTAATCAGTCATCAGTGGCTAATTATTTAATCAGTCATGCCTGTGTAATGAAGCCTTCATTAGAACCCAACAGGAAAGGTTTCAGATAGCTTCCTGGTTGGTGAACACGTGGAGATTCAGGGCAAGTGGTACCCGGAGCGGGCATGGAAGCTCTGTACCCTTCCCCATACCTGGCCCTACTCACCTCTTCCGCTTGGCTGTTCCTGAGTTTATCCTTTATTATAAACCAGTGATCTAGTAAGTAAACTGTTTCTCTGAGTTCTGTGAGCCACTCTAGCAAATTCATCAAACCCAAGAGGGGGATGGTGGGAACCTCCTCTCAATAGCAGGTCAGTCAGGAGCCCAGGTGACAACTGGCGTCTGAAGTGGGGGGAGGGCAGTCTTCCAGGACTAAACGCTTAACCTGTGGAATCTGATGTCTCCAGATAGATAGTGTCAGACCCTGCTGTAATCTGAGAATTGTTGATATGGGAGGAACCCCCACGCACACATTTAATTGTGTCCAGGAACCGTTTCGCCCCCATTTATTTAGAGCCCCCTCCCCAGAGGACAGTGGTCCTGGGCCCTTAACCACTGTGTGTACAGCTAATCGTCTAGCAACACAGAGGCGTAAATAAATAACAGATGCACTTGTCCAAACACTGTCCAGTGTTGCATTCTGGGCTTTTCTTTGGTTGGTTGACTGGTCTTTATTTTTTGGTTTTGGCGGCTGTGTTTTTGGCTGTTAGAAATGTATCTATGGCCCAGAGCCATCTGTGGGAGGGATGTTGACCCTGAATTGACTTCTGAGTCAATTTCTGAGCCTCAGCCAAGATTGTCAGAGGGCACTGCAAACCCCTCACTTGACCTCAGAGTGCTCCAAGCTTCCTGAGTCAGCTCATTAGAATAAATTGAAAGAATACCCCCTTTTGCTTTTGAATTTTTCTGACTTTCTTCAGCTTAAATTTCTTTTTCCTTCTCGGATTTCAGGATGTCGTCGCAGCATCTGTGACATCGTAAAGCCCATTAGCAGAAAGTTTTCTCATTTTACCTTTATTGTACCTCGCGACGGGACACCCGTACTAAATAAAACACATCTCTGCTTGAGTACACATTAGAGAAGAAAGTGAAATCACAAGTGAATTCAGTGCTTACTTTACAGAGTCATAAACTACATGAAAACTTTCCCTGATGGTTTTCGTGTTTCATTTCTGTAACATCGCTGCTGTCTGTTTTCAGTTTTCAGGTGAAAACGGGGAGAGAATGAAAGAAAAATACGGTGTCTTTTGTAGTGGCCACAATGAAGCGGTCAGTCATTACAAGTTGCTGCTGCAGCAAAATAAGAAATTTCAAAACTTGATCAAGGTAAAAAAAAAATTTTTTTTTAATTGAAAAC